CATGTCATGTTTTTAGGGTCCCCAAAGCCAATAAAACGATAAGGTAGAAGACAGAAAACCCTTTCCCATGGATGTTGAAACTTGAAGATAGTAAGATTTATGATTGGACTCATTGCAAACAGGGATAAGTATATGTAAAACCTCCACGTTTGTAAAAACAACTTTTAAAACGTGTAAATGGCCAAAGTTAATGGCCAGCATGGCATTTGGTGGTAATTGACCAAGGAACCTTGGAAGTCATGTCCAGCTTTGACCCATGACATCTTCCCCAAGGGTGAAAGAGCCCACTATATCCCAAGACTCTTGGGTATTTAGAAAGCCCTCGTTGTTGGGGAATGTTTCGTTCCATTCAATTCAAATCTCAGGCTGCACCAAGTGTTAAGACTTTACATTTATCTTTATTAATTTTATCTTGTTAGATTTGGCCCAGTCTAGGGGTGGGGAACCTGCAGCCTCAAGGCTGCATGTTGGCCCTGTAGGTGCTCAAGTGCAGGCCTTTGACTGAATCTAAACTTCACAGAACAAACCCCTTAATAAAAGGATTCTGTAAAATGGGCACATTCAAGGACCTAGAAGGCCACTTGTGGCCTTGAGGCTGCAGGTTCCCAACCACTGGCCCAGTCTATACACTGACCCTCTAGCAATCTAGTGAGGCCTACAGCCCCTCTCAGTATTAAATGCATAAAATGTAGAGAATTATAAAGGAAGCCAACTGTATTGGAATACAGTTATCAAATTATTTAAAAAACAAATTCACATGCCCTGGGTTAAAAACCTCTGCTAAAGCAATCAGTTTTTTGGTCATCTGAGACAAAAGGCAGTAAAACACACTGAAATAGATGCAGTGACCAGTATGGTACGGTCCTAGCCGGTTGTAGCCTTCTTGCAATTAGCAATGTTGGAAGAATGTCAGCTTTCTCAGAGGTGGAGGAGCAAGTCTTCCCAGCTAGAGATGAGATTTCCTTTGGATTTCTGTTTATGGGAAAAGAGAATACAAGCCAGAAGTGGGAAAATGGCTAGGAGAAAGGGCAGGAGATAAGACTTGGGAGAAATGGGAAATGATATTAACCTAAAATCTTTCACTAATATTTTATTTGCAGCCAGCAAGATGCATGACTTTTTTTTTTTTTTTTTTTTTTTTTGTTTTTGTGGTAGTGTGTGAGAGCAACAGATAGACCAAATGGGCCCAGGAGCCTGTTCCTATCTCCCCTGGCGCAGCACTCCCAGCATCCTCTCCCTCAGGCAGTGGCTCAGATCACCTCAGCAGTGGCACTCCTGTCAGTCAAGGCTGTCCCTTTGATTGGTTCCTCCCTGCCAGCCCCCAGGCATTGGTACAGGGGGCCAGGCAAGGCTCCCTGTGAAAGGCCAGCTGCTGTGGCAGCACACCATCCTGTGTCCTCTGGCCACGTACAAAGCTGGGTACTGTTCAACTTGTTGCTGTAATAACGACAAATTGCTGCCCAGCTAGAGAGCATAAAAAGGCCTCCTGTGTACTGTGTAACCTTTGCTGAGAATCCAGCTAAGTGTTGGTCAGAACACATAATTAGAGCTTGAACCGTGCTGGGCTTGGAGTTCCTGATCATGTGCCTCCTGTGTGCTTGTGAGAAGAGGCTGATTGACTGAGAGTCACCTTTCTGTGATCTCAGTGATTAGGACTGTGTTAAACCAATTGTTTTAGGCTTGAGCTGAAATAAAAAAGCAAAGCAAAACAACA